CTTACAAATACTTAATGGGAGGATGCCAGGGGGATGGGAGCAGTCTTTTTTCAGAGGTGCCCAGTGATAGGACGAGAGGTAACGGGCATAAACTTGAACATAGGAAGTTCCATCTTAAGATGAGGAAGAAGTTCTTTACTTTGAGGGTAGTGGAGCACTGGAACAGGCTGCCCAGAGGGGTTGTGGAGTCTTCCACTCTGGAGACATTCAAAACCTGCCTGGATGCCGTCCTGTGCAACCTGTTGTAGGTGACCCTGCTCTGGCGGGGGGGTTGGACTAGATGATCTCCAGAGGTCCCTTCCAACCCTGACCATTCTGTGATTCTGTGTGATTCCCCCCTCGTCCTATCACTACATGCCCTAGTAAAAAGTCCTTCCCAGCTCTCCTGTAGGCCCCCTTTAGGTACTGGAAGGCCACAATAAGATCTCCCTGGAGCCTTCTCTTCTCCAGGCTGAACAGCCCCAACTCTCTCAGCCTCTCCTCATAGGAGAGGTGCTCCAGCCCTCGGATCATCCTCGTGGCTCTCCTCTGGACACACTCCAGCAGGTCCATGTCTTTCTTATGTTGAGGACTCCAGAGCTGGACGCAGTACTCCAGGTGGGGTTTCACAAGAGTGGAGTAGAGGGGCAGAATCACCTCCCTTGACCTGCTGGCCACATTTCTGATGCAGCCCAGGATACGGTTGGTCTTCTGGACTGCGATCGCACATTGCTGGCTCATGCTGAGCTAGTCCTAGTATGTTCAACTTTCTCTCTGCCCTTATTATACTCCATTTAGACAGCCTTTAGGGAATCCTAAAAACCTCTCTGAAGGCTTTTGCTTTTTCCTCTTCCTTTTTTATATTGTTTGATTATGTTTCACTAATATGAGTTGATTTTAAAAGTCCTAGTATGTTCAACTTTCTCTCTGCCCTTATTATACTCCATTTAGACAGCCTTTAGGGAATCCTAAAAACCTCTCTGAAGGCTTTTGCTTTTTCCTCTTCCTTTTTTATATTGTTTGATTATGTTTCACTAATGTGAGTTGATTTTAAATTCTTAATGTTTCACTTAATGGCTAATGAAATAATTATGTTCTAATTAATGAAACATTCCCATGACTTATCCAATTTGGTCAGGTATATACTGGCTATAACTGAAGCATTGAGACAAACGAGTTAACTTGGTGAAGAATGTTATTCTTAGTCCATGAAGGCCCAGTCCAGCTGAAAATATTTGAGTTTCACATTCCCTTTATGAATGTCAATCAGCAAGGGAAGAATCTGCTGTCAGATTATGAATAATTCTGTGTGTACACACACAGGCTCCAGTCGACTCAGCACTCTTGAAAATAAAACATTTTATAATTAATATTCCAAGTTCGACAGCATTAGTATATAGTGCAAATGTAGGGGGGACACCGTGTATATGTGTACCTTAAATTTCAGTTTGACAGCATTAGTATATGGTATAAATGTATGGGGGAACCATGAATGTGTGTACCTTAAATTTCAGTGTATAACGTGAGTATTTGTCATTCTCAGTACATTTACTAATACTGTTTTCATTAATTTATTACCAAGCAGCCTTTTTTTCTGATAAGTCATCTGAATTCTGGCAAGCAGTTGTGTCTAAATGCAGCCTAAACCAACATTTCAGTTTGACTAGCAAGGAGAAAAGAGTGACTTCTCCTTGTAAAATCCTGGGGATATTTTTGTAAAATCAATGGAGCAGTAGCAGTGAATTCGTATTTTTCCTATTTAGGGTCCTTAATCCAAAAAGTCATTTGAAATTTGAAAACATCCCAGTTTGAGGTAATTAAAATATTTTTGCATTCCTCTAACACCGTCATGTTACATGTTTCATCTCTGAATTTCAATCTGATATTACTCAATGATGATTTTGGTGTCAAATTGCTTTCCACTTTGGGTACTTGTTCAATATTTTCCCTACCCCTTGACATCATAATGAGAGCCTGAAATGTTTTAAAAATAGTTTCTGTGGTTATTGCAGTATGACTTATATGACCCTTTCATTTTAGTTTGAACATTTTCTGCTCTTTTCAATTGCAACATACAGCAGCACTAGGTGAAAGATTTAAGAGGACAAATATGGTGTTCTTTGGGTCTCTTAAGCAAAGTTCATGTAAAAGTCCTCTTTGATTTGTTAATAGCTTTTTTTCTCTAATGTAGTGTGTGGCAGTAATGATGTGTATCCTCAGGAAAAAAAAAAAAAAAAGGTCCATTTTATAAAGGTTTATTTTCATACTTTATGCACTGTAGGTCTGTTGTGTGTTTTTGATTTAGTAACAATTTATGTGTTTTTCTGTTGCAGAGCACTGCAGCCTGTGGTATAGAGGCTCAAAGCGATGCCATCCAGCCCAGCCACATCAGAGAGGCCATTCGACGCTATGGCCACAAGATTGGCCCCCTTTCCCCATTCACAGTACGTAATAACAGAGTTATAAAAAGTTATATTTATAATCTTAAAGAACTTTGATTTTCAAGTGGTCAAATGAAGAAGCTTTGGAATTGTTGAGAGCAATTTGTGGTGACTGTAATTTTCTTTATAAAAGTGGCATAATTCTCTTGGGAAATAAAACTTAGTAATTTCTGTCTCTTTTTGGAAGGACAAAAAAGTTTTTTTTTTCTTTTAAATATTATTTTCTTTCAATTACAAATTATGCTTTTTTGTTAGTGCTTGAATTTTCTGTTTTTGCAAAGTTTAGGTTTACAGTTATTTTAAATTATATGTATTCCAATATGGTGAGGAGCACTTTATATTCTAAAATTAGTTGTGTGTCAGATACTGCTCCTATTGGAAGCTGAACTCTCAAGTGACACATTTACAGTTGGAGAAAGAAGAGAATGGTTTCTTTAGACAACTTTGAACCTCCACTAAAATGTAATGGAACTAAGCTTGTGGTAAAACACTGATGGGATGTGAGGTTTTGCCATCATTTTTTCTATGCAAATTGCAAATCCATTGTTCAGAGCAGCCAAACGAATTCTTTATTTAATTTTCTCATCTGATGAAAATGTGAAAGTAGTCTGTCTCCAATGTCATAAATTGGGGTCATTTTCTTCTGATCTGCTGTTCTATTTGGCATATGTCCTTGTGTCCCTCTGAATATCTACATTTGGGAAAGAGCGAATATCAAAGACATCATTCTAGGAAAAAAACCCTGAACCCCACCAAACTAGAACTGAGCTCCAAAAAAACAGAAAGAAATTGTCCATTTTTGGAAAGATTTTAAGAAAGGAAAGTGATTCTGAATTTGGAGGAAAATCATCTACATAAAAATTATGCAGAAGTATATGAAGACCATAAGTATCAAGAAGTACCTCAGAAGCAAGGAACAAGAAAAAGTAAAGGTAAATGAGTATGTGAAGTTATAATTTTCCTGGTGTCAAAACTGATCAATGCTCTTATAAATGGCAGTAAGTTTTTGGTTTATTAATGATAGTTGATATGGATTTGCAATGAATTATCTTTACATATTATACCTGTCTCTTTTGCCACTCACAAGTGCTAGATTAATATCACGTAAAGCGTTGGATAGAATTTCTAGTCCAAAGTAGAGAAGTGTCTTTAGCAGAAGTTTGCTAAGAGATGTAGCTGAGGACATCGCAGTAGCTTCTGAAAGCAGAGAATGTATTTAATTTTATTATAAAGAAGTAAAGAGCTCACATAAACGATTACAGAGAGGTAAGTCTGCCTTCCCTGACCCTCACTAAAAGTGGTTTGCTTGATTATTAACCAAAGTTTGAAATTTCTCTGCAACCACAGGATATAATAAAATGCTCTGGTTTGGGTTGGGTTTTTTTATGTCCTGCTATCTTGTGAACTTCCCAAACAGCCCAACTAACTGAACAATTTAATTTGTTGACATTAACTACTGGCAACGTGGTTAATGAGATGAGCAGATCTTACTCTCTCTAAACGAGCCAAGAACGAGAGAGGGAATCTTGGGTCATCTGCTAGATGTGTACAGATGTTGTAGAGCTGTAATACGATTCCTTTTATAATAAGAAAGTTCAGGAAAAGCATTTTGAGAGATATTATAGAGTATGCATTTAGGTCTGTCAATCTGCCCACTTTTCTGGTCAGTGCCATCGTTGGCAGTTTTGGGGACAAACACTGCTATCACAATTGTCCAAAAAAAAAAGTACCCCAAACTTCCTGTAAGTTCCTTACAGATGCAGAAAGCATGAAGGTAGATTGATGCTTCCTTTGACCTGACCTTTTCATACTGCCAGACTCTCACACTGTTGTATTAAGAAATATTCCCTCTAGGCGTTTTGAACAGTGCTGTGGCAACATTTCTTTTGAATGACTTCTGCTTTCTCCTATTGCTACTGTCTTCACGATAGTTTCTTTGCGTATTTGTGTGACCTCCTAGACAGGATGACAACCAGGAGGAAAGGTGGCTTCTTGTGATTGTGTGGTGACACTTTAAAAACTGCAGAGAGAGAAATATTGAACAGGTACCTGTCATTAGATTCAGTGAAGTCATGCTTTCAGCTGTTTCCACCCTTAAAACTAACCTAAAGGTCATGTAGAGAAGTTAGGAATATACATTTTCACATCACCTCTCCCATTTCTCTTCTGTTGATCATTTTTCCACATCAGATCTGATTTATAGTCAATGGGTGCCCCGACAGAGTCAGCTGTAGGTAAGGAGGAAGGATTTTTCTGCGTGTCCAGGTATTTTGCACTAAGTTTTCTGATGGCAGTTTACCATTCTTACTAACAGTCCTACTACAGAAGCAAGGAAAAGTATTAATATAGCTCACTGAAGAAAATACCGTTTTTGTGAGCCATATAGATGTTCAGTTCAGTCCCTAAAATGTGTAGATTAGACTGATCTTTAAGTAAAAGACACTGTTCTACGTTCTTACAATAAAAGAAAGAAGTGCAAGTCTGCTAGTGCCAAAATGCTTTATTACTCTGGTATAAGTTTATGATACTTGTACAGGAAGAATGTAGAATCAGTTCTAGAAACCTAACCTGGTACATAACTAGCCCAGATAACATGATGTGTTAGCAACATACAGGAAATCTCATATGAGGAATAATAGGCAAAATAAGTTATCCAAAGTATTCAACAACATTTTTGTGAAAACTAGAGCACGTTACTTCTCTTGAGTGCTGACCATTGAGAAAAGATTGGTGAAAGCAAAAGGAGTCACTTTAAATACTTTCCTGTCTTCCAAAGTAATATTACATGAACTTTAACAAAGTACAGTTATTGGAATTTAATAAATTATTTTAATTTTGTAGTCCTATGCTATTCTGAAATTTTCTTGGATATGTGACTATAGAGCCGTAAGGAATTTTGCCCTTGCTGTATATTAGTAATAAATAATGGACAGCTCTTTTTTCATTTTTTCATTTTAAATAATTTCCATCTCCTTCTAGCCGGTCATACAAGGCAGAGAGCAAACGTTTTCTTTTTCATTTGGGAGATTTTTTTTTTTTTAATTTAGCTAGATTTAGTTTTTGGCTTTTTGCCATGCTGCCCTCTGTGAGGCATTCAGTAGTGTCCCCAAAAATCACTGTGTATCATTTTTAATGTTTAGGATTTAACAACATTGTTTTTTGAAAGACTTCCTCTTTTGTACAAGTGGATTGAGTTAAATCAGCAGTACATCTGCAGAAATGAATACAAATCTGAACCTGCAAAGTATCTGATAATATTTCCCCATTTAAAATTGCGAGATACTATAAAATCAATGTTCTGTATGAAAAATCCGATGCAGATGATTGCATTTTAAACCAAAACCAGACAAGAATCTTATAACTGCCCTTGATATTAAAATAGAGACTTTGTCAATTCCCTTTTCTTTCTTTTTTTTTTTTCTTTTCCTCCCTGCGTTATTGTTTTTAATCTTCTCTCTTTTTTTCACCTTCTTATCATTTCTCAGCTCTGGTGAGCCAAGACTTCACAGTTCTTAGACGAAAGCTAGTTTCTGCACTGTCTGGAAACACCCGCGGTAGTGACAAGCCCCATACATAATTGCAGAGACAACTGAAGGTATAGATATTTGACTAGATTGCCAGCTGGGAAACCATCCTTGTTTTCTCCAGATGCAACATCACATTCCAAAAATGTGAAAACCCCCTACCTTCCTTCTTCTCTGTGGGGTTACAGGAAGGGATCTGCCTTGCTTTAAGACTTGACTAACATGCTTTTCAATGATGAGTCGTTCATATTTGACGTGCCTATGCACACCTAAACCTAACTCTCTGGAAAGGCTTCTGTGTTTGAAGCACTTGCCACGGAGACTGTGGTGTAGGAGACCTTGATTCTGCTCAATTGAATAAAATTTACTTGTTTCCTTGTCACAGTTCACAAAAGGATATGTACTGGTAGGATAGTCGTCTTCTGGTCTTGTATTTGTCCTACTAGTACACTGCCTTCATTGTTGTGTGGGTTGTTTGGTTTTTCCTTAGACCATTTTTCCATTCCTCAAGGCCATTTTCTGTTGAGAGCAGAACAACCAGGTACACCAGATCAGAGGTACACATGCAAGTATTGGCTCTAATCTTGTCTTGGCAGCAAAGTGGTGTGTTCATCAAAAAAAATTCCAGGTATGGGGGACTGACTTTGGGATGGATGCATTCAATATGAAGTTCACCTGTGAGCAGGCTTTATTCTCTGAGCACCATCAGTCGTGGTCTCATATTGAAGATTGATATTGGAGGAGACAGTGTGAGTGGATCTCATAGGTTGGCTCCATTACAGGAATTTCCAAAGTCAACCTTCCCATTTTAGATGTAAATAAAAAAGCAGTAGTTTATATCCAGGATCCCAGGTATGCGTCTCTGGTGAAACTGTCTGACAGAGATCTTACCTTATGTTCCAGGTGGGATTCAGGAAGACAAGTTATCTCAGTCTTCCGCGTGCCATCTCACAGCTCGGGCACCAGGTCATTCTCAGTGTTAGGGTTCTCATTGCGTTGCTCCATTTCTTACACACTACTGCTCTAGAGGATTAAAGAGAGTGAGATTAGTTTTCTCTACTCTTTTGACTAATGTTTTTCAATTCCTCGAGTTTGTAATTTTAAAAATATGAAAGATTTTCCATGAGTAATGTTAGGGTGCAGTTGTTGGCTGTCTCTCCACATCAGCCATCCTTGGTTGGCTTTTCAGTGTATGATAACGCATGACTGTTACATTTCTTTCTTCTAACTTGAAAACTCATCCCCTAGCAGTTTTGGTTCAAATACTAACTTTCTGAATACAACAGGCCCTTGACAACTTCCGGGCTGATGGTTATTACATTGATCCATAAAAATACCCCTTCCGGTGGCTTCAAAGAGATCAGGGGAGGGTTTAGATCTTTCTGATACAGTTTTTTCATTGGACACTGTAGAGAATAGCTCAGACTTCTGTCTAAAGTTATATCAAGGTTTTGCACTGCCTAGAAAACAAGCACATCCTATGTCAAATGGTTCCTGCTACTGCGGTCTGAAGAAGTGGCCGTACTTGGTTAT